TTTTAACAAAAGTTTACAGAAAAGTTAGATTTTCATTCATTCATTGTTGTACATTTTACTCCCTCCCGTCCCTTCCCCCTCCCCCAGTTCACTTTTTTTAAAAAAATATTCATTCATTGTTGCAGATTTACCTTCCCCTCTGCCCCCCAGTCCTCTTTGAAATGCACCTCTTATTCTGGGCTATTGATGTACATATAACACCTAATCATATATTCCTTTTAAACATTAGGATAAGAGTGGATACATAACAAACATTGTATTGGAAGAGATGCAGGAAAGAACTGTTCCAAGCCTTCTCTTTTTTTTTAAGCCTTCTTTTTTATATAAACTTAAACATAGACATCCTTGTCTGTGGGAGAAGGCAGTCTCCTCCCACGTGATTTACTGCCCCTGAAAACTCACTGGAGGATCCGCTGTGGATCGGTTCCAACTTGACAGTACACAACAACAACACAAACATAGACAATAAAACTGTGCTCAAAGGAGAAACTTGTCAATCTTAATCTTCTAGAGCTATGTGCTTATTTATGAATGAAATGAGGAACTGCCTCACTTGTCTAAATAAGTCAGCCTGAGGGGAAAGTGGAGGGAGAGGAGACAAGACTGAACACAGAGTGCTGGTAATGGAAGGTGGAGAGTTTAGATTTCATTTTTATCTTCTGAGCACTTTCGATTATGCTTACATTTTTCCATATTAAAGTAAAAAAGAATAAGTGGATTGCACTAGGTTTGAACTGGCAACTAAAACTGAACCCCCTGTGTGGAGTCAGTAATACAGGGACCGAGTAGTACAGCCCCAAAGGGTTTCTGAAGCTATAAACTTTCAGAATCATATCACCATACCTTTCTCCACGGAGCAGCAGGTGGACCCAAACCCAAACATTTGATCACTGGGCCACCAGGGCACCTCCTTGGACTGGAAGCATTTAAAAAAAAAAAAAAAAAAGCGCCTTGATTTCATTTTGAGGTTGTACTGCCATCTAGTGTTTGTTACGAACATTAAAAAGACCCACCTTGCTGGGCTTGGGGAGGGGGGTGGGAAGTCTGTCTAATAAAGGTTTTTTTCTATGAACTTGACTGGCCTTTCCTGTTCTCTCACAGGAGGGTGGAGGGCTGAGGGCAGAGGGGGTGACTGACCACTGTCAAGGCAGCACATGGGTGTGGAGGGGGCAGTGGTGGTTTCCATCCCACTGTTTCAGCTTGTTGCTCAATCCATGCCTCCCGGCTAGGGGAGAAAGCTGTGGGCAAGAGTCACTGTTTTGTGTGCCGCTCTGAAGGCAGCTGACCTTGGTGGAAAGGTTCTCCGTGTGACCCAGGTGCAAAAATAGCCTCTCTTGTGACTGGTGTGTGTTCAGCTCCCCAGCCTGAGCAAATAGCCCCTCACACCTGCACATTATTTACTTGGTGTAGACACACAGCTACTTGTTTGCAGGTGCAAATGACTGTGTATGTACCCAGCCTTGGGCGTAGAGCCCTCTTACCATCCTCTGCCCCAGCCTAGGTTCCTTTAGTTCAGGTTCCTGGGCCACCAGATAAGTCAAACCCATCATCTGACTCAGGGACCATGTAGGAGAGAGAACTTCCCTAGAGTGTTTCCAAGGCTGTGTGTAGTTTTGATGGAATCCCAATGACCCTAAATGTGCAACCTTAAAGCCCAAGTCTGGGTTCCAATGGACAAAGAGCTCTCAAAGACATCATTACCACCTTTGCTGGGGGGGGGGATCACCCTTGTCACTGGCAGCAGGGCAAGAAAAATATGAGACCAGGGCGGCTGTGCTTAGTGACCAAAATTTGGATGTTTTTGTGCACCATCAAGTTGGAACTGATTCACAGCTGAACTTCCGGAGGGTTTTCAGAGGCAGTAAATTGCATGGGAGGAGACTGACCATCCTTCTCCAGCGGAGCAGCTGGTGGATTTGAACAGCATGCTTTTAGGATTTCATTACTGGTTCTTATCACTAGACCACCAGAGTTCCCTAAAAACTTGGATAGAATAGAAGACATTTTCAAGAGTTAGGAACTTCTGGCTGTCCTGAATCAGGCCATATGCAGAGCACTGGATAAGAAAACTGGCCCAGCCTGTCTTACAAGGCCCACTGAAATGAATGTCGATGGAATTTTCCACTGTACAAACTCTGTAGAAATGGAAGATAATAGGAAGGAGAAGGAAATTTACTTCGGTTCAGTGTAGTGACAAGTGATGACAACTTTCTTCTGTTAGTGCAAATTATCATATTTATCATATGGACTTTTATATGCTAATAAGCAGGGGGGAAATGCTACGAGTTAAATTATGATCCAGTGTAAGATACATCTCTATTTTAAATACATTAAAATATGGGGGGAAATGAATTAAGATGTACATTGGTATAGGCTTTTAAAAGGGCATTTTGAAAAATATTAAGAGTTTAAAACAATCTCTTTGAGTAATCCTATTTACATTCTAAAGAATAACTAGCAATGCAAAGCTTCATGTACAAAATGATCAGTATTGAAAATATAAATTGAAAATAATAGTTAATAACAAAAGTTCAGTGATAGTACATTTATATGACGGCATATTACACTGCCTTAAGATGTGCTTATGAAGAATTTCTAATATGGTTCAATATTTTGGTGATGAATAAAACCAGTCTCAAGATTATTTATAATTTGACCTCAACAAAAGAAAAAAAATCGTATGTTGTTGTTGTTATGTGCTGTCAAGTCGCTTGCAACTCATAGCGACCCTATGTACAACAGCCCTAAACCCTGCTCTATCCTGTGCCAATTGCATGGCCTCTGACACAACCATCCCGATTACCCCAGTCACTGAATCAATCCACCTCATAGAGGGTCTTCCCCTCCTGCGCTGTCCCTCCACCTTACCAAACATGATGTCCCTCTCCAAGGACCTGTCTCTCCTTACAACATGTCCAAAGTATGTCAGACGAAGCCCCAGAATCCTTGGCTCCAAGAGTATGAATCTGTTTGTTTTCTTGGCAGTCCAGGGTACATTCAATACTTTTCTCTAGCACCACAGCTCAAAGGCATCAATTCTCCTTCTATCTTCCCTAGTCATTGTCCAACTCTCTGATGCATAACAAGTGATTGCAAAGACCATGGCCTGTATCAGGCGCGCCTTAGTCTCCAGAGAGACACTGTTGCTCTTGAGTACTTTAGAGGGGTCCCTAACAGCAGGCTTTCCCATCGCAATACGTTTTTTGATTTCCTGGCTGCTGGTGCCAAGAGTGTTGACTGTGGGGCCGAGCAAACGGAAACTGTGAACAATCTCAATCTCTTCACTGTCCATCCTCATGCTACCAATTGATCCAGTGGTGAGAATCTTTGTCTTCTTGACATTGAGCCTCAGTCCATACTGAAGGCTGCAGTCCTTGACCCTCTGCAGCAAGTGCATGAGGTCCTCCTCAGTTTCGGCAAACAGGGTTGTGTCATCTGCATAACGCAAATTGTTAATAGATCTTCCACCAATCCTGATGCCACACTTCTCCTCATAGAGCTCAGCCTCTCAGATAATCTGCTTTGCATACAGGTTGAAAAGGAATGGAGATAGGGCACATCCCTGGTGTACACCCTTCCCAATTTTGAACCATGCAGTGTTACCCTGCTCTGTTCCAACAACTGCCTCTTGGTCAAAGTACAGGTTTCACATTAGCACGATTAAATGTTCTGGGATTCCCATTCTTCTCAGAGTCAGCCACAATTTGTTATGATCCACACAGTCAAATGCCTTTGCATAATGAATTAAACACAGATAGACATTCTTCTGGTATTCCCTGCTTTCAGCTAAGATCCATCTAAGATCAGCTACAATATCCTTAGTACCACGACCCCTTCTAACTAAACCCAATATTTAAAACATGGCAAAATATATGCTAGAACAAACCAGTAAATACTTGGTGGTCTTTGAGTTTAGGATTACAGATGATCTGTACTTTCCTTGAACATTTGGTGTTTTCTAATTTTCTTTAGTAAAATTATTACCATATCTTACTATGTTAGATATTATAAAATTAATGCCTTTATACATTTGCCTTTATACATTTAGTGTTTCTCATTTTCTTAGAGCAAAATTATTATCCTATTATTTTATTACATTAGGTATATTTCTATTATTATAAATTTAATGTATTTGACAAAGGAGATAAGGACCTCTATTTTAAAGGAAAAGAGAAAGAAAAAGCAGTTCTGCGTAAACTTCATTGTTAAGTGAGAGCTTTAAGGCCAAAGCCACTGGTGTGTCAGGCACTTTCCAGGTAGAGGGCAGAAGTCACATAAGCCTTGAGATAGAACAATCCAGTATTTTAATGGCAGACAGTGGAAGGCTCGGACAAGAGATAAAGAAGGTTGTGCTTCATAAAGACATCCTGGTCGACTCAGCCATGTCTCCCTGCAACCCACGACCACCTCAAATAGGTAGCATTTCTTTGTTCTCTACCACAAAACTTTGGGACTGGGACCCAGGTTCTGAATAAAAATCTGTGGCCAGAATCCAGACACCTGGCACCAGCAATTGATGTCAGCATTCTTCCTTGTCTTGTAAGGAGGGAGGGCCCTGCTGTGCCTCTGGAGCTGAGACGTGAAAGTGTGCACTTGCCACCACAGCCTGCTGAGCCTGCTCTTAGGAGGCGATGCCAAACAGAAAAAGACTTGGCTGGCCAAGGGATTCTTGCATTCCTGGAAGAAATGGCATTATTTCTTTGTTTCTAGGTTCTGTGATGGGAAGCCCTGGTGGTGCAGTCCATAGGGAGCTGTACTGCTGACACAAAGGTGGCACCTTTCTGGTGGTTCCGAAGCCCTAGTGGTTCCATGGCAGGAAGAGGAATAATCTCTTCCTGTGCCATTTACAACCTCAGAAAACCTACTGGCGGGTTAGCTTTGGGTCAATTCTGACTTGACAGCAGTGAGTTTGAGTTTTGAGTGATTCTAAGATGAGAATTATCAGCATAGATGAAGAGTTAATCCTCTATCTTTTTCTCCCACTTCTTCTCACCCAATAGATATGTTTGACGACTTCTCAGAGGGCAGAGAATGTGTCAACTGTGGGGCCATGTCCACACCACTCTGGAGGCGGGACGGGACAGGGCACTACCTGTGCAACGCCTGTGGCCTCTATCACAAGATGAACGGCATCAACCGGCCCCTCATCAAGCCCCAGCGACGGCTGGTAAGAAAGTCCCTCAAGTTCCTTAAGTCCATTAGCCTGTAGAACAGCCACTCTTCTGTGGCTTCTTCCTAAAACTTGGTTCGGGACTTTTACCTTGAGGGGTTATCCGAAATGTTCTCATATTTGAGTTTTGAGATTCAGGCTACTTACACCTTAAAAGTAAGGTTTTGTGGTGGAATTCTTGCCTTTCGTACACAAGCTCTTGTTTCAGTTCCCATTAGTGCATCTCAAGTGGTGCCACCACTCATCTGTCAGCAGCGGTTTACATGTAATGTGAGGATGCAGACCAAGAGAGACCAGGAAGAAAGGCCTCATGAGCTATTGCTGAAAATCTGACTGGACTACAACCAATCATGGCACAGCACTACATAGTGGTTCCTTCCTATGTGCATGATGTCATCATTAGTCAAGAACTGACTTGGTGGCGGCTAATAACACAAAGACACATTTTAAAGTAAGGTGTAGATGAGGTGGGTTAATAGGGAAGAACATCCTCATTTTTCATACCTTTAAGATTAGCTTGAGTGGCAAGGATGTCTCAGATCATGTAATTCAACCCCTTAAATATATAGAAGTGGAAACTGAGGCTTCAGAAAGGTAAAGAAATCAGGATGTGAGCTATGGAAGCACAGTCCAGGATTCCTGGTTTCCAACCCAGGATTGTCTTTTGTGTCTCTCACATTCGCATCTACTGTAAGACCAACTTACAGCACGACTCCTTGACCCCTGGGAGCTCTGGTGGCCTAGTGAGTAAGGAGTTTGTTTCCCTGCCAACCAAAGTCAAGGCAGTTCAATCCCACCAGCTGCTCCTCGGGAGAAAGATGAGCCGTCTGATCCTGTGCAATTCCAGGGTCTGAAAACCGGCTGGAGAGGCAGCAGTGCAGTGAGTTGGTTCAGCCTCCGTGGCAGTAAGGGTTTTGTTTTTTCTTAAAGGGTGGAGCAGAGCTGTCCCAGAGGCTATTATTGACCTTGTTTTCAGTTGATAAAACTGGAAACGCAGAGAGGTTGAGCAGGCTGTGTAGGACCCTGTAGTGGGTGAAGAGCCTGATTTTTTATTCCTGGTTGAGTGCTCTTTTCAAAAATAATGTGAGTTTGATCACCACTAGGTAGCTTATATGAATATAACCCTGCTTCTTCCCTTTCCTGTGAGTCCAAGGCCCTTCCCAGACCTTGATGATACTTAAATATAACGGTTCTCCACCCACCACCCTTATCTGGCACCTTGGAGTATCTGTGAAGCCAAAGTTAACTGCACTTTTGAGAGGTTTTCTGCTAACAGCATATGTTTGCTTGACTATTCGTCTGAAGTCCAGTGACTAATAAGCGCTACAGTTAGCACTGGAAACCAGGTCTGCAGATTCACTCCTCTCTTTCAGAAGTCTCTGCTCTCCTTCACTCTAAGAGTGGAGAGCCTTAGCAATGAGAAAACCTGGCTCTGTAACTGGTCCTATCCTCTCACAGGGCTGTTAAGACTAACCTGTCCCCCCACGCCCCCCAATTCAGGACAGTCTAGCTCTCTGGCATTCTATGTGAAGTAGGAAAGTAGATAAAACAGCATTTGGCAGGATCTTGAAAGATTTGCTTCCTGTGTTGCAGTCTGCTTCCCGCCGAGTGGGCCTCTCTTGTGCCAACTGCCAGACCACCACCACCACTCTGTGGCGTCGCAACGCGGAGGGCGAGCCTGTGTGCAATGCCTGCGGCCTCTACATGAAGCTCCATGGGGTACGTAGATCCCACTTCTTCCACAAACGCCAGTTCCTACCAGGCCAGTGACCACCCTGATCATTTCCAATCACTCGGTTCTCACTTCTACTATTTCCTCTTTAGACTATAATTCATCCCTGACCCCATAACTTCTTAACAAATACCCTTAGATTTGGAAGTAGTTCACCAGACCTTTCTTTTGAGATACCTTTGGGTGGGCTTAAACTACTAACCACCCAGCTAGCATTTCATTTACCATTTGCCCCATCCAGGAGCTCTGAAGTTGAAATAGGAGACAAGTTCATGTCTTTCCTGCAATATTGCTTTTCTTTAGTATTTGCAGATGTGGTCTTAGTCCCACACAAACAAACAAGTACAAACCAGGGTCTCAAAGATGTGGCCTAAAAGAAGCCAGAGTGGGTAAGGCACAATATTTCAAAACATTAGAAGGATTTTCTTCAAAACAACTATAAGATATAATCTCAACCCAGACAGAATAGCAAAATTTAACAGAACAGCAAGCAACAAATGCTGGCAAGGTTGTGGAGAAACTAGAACCCTTATTCACTGTTGGTGGGAGTGTAAAATGGTGCAACCGCTGTGGAAGACGGTATGGCACTTTCTCAAAGAGTTGCAAATAGAGATACCATTTGACCCAGCAATTCCACTACTGGGAATATACCCCAAAGAGACCATAACTGCCATCCAAGCAGATATATGCACACCCATGTTTATCGCAGCTCTGTTCACAATAGCAACGAGTTGGAACAACCTAAGTGCCCATCAACAAATGAATAGATAGAGAAGCTGTGGTATATTCACACAATGGAATACTATGCTGCATTGAAAAACAAAGAACTCATGCAATATTATTCAAAATGGGTGACTCTGGAGGACATTATGCTGAGTGAAGTATCTCAGTCACAAAGGACAAAGACTGCATGGTGCCACTGTTGTAAAACAGCACTGATCTTGGGGTTGGGGAGAGACTGAGAAAGATGGGTTCAATAATGTGTACTGCATTGAAACAGATGAGGGAGAAAACTGTTTAAAAGGGATATGTGATTAGGTATTTTTGTCATGACAGGTATCTAGAGCGAAGGCTACATTGTGGAATGGACATGGGGGAGGGTTTGTAAAACAATGAAAGAATTTTACTTTTCCAAGAGGGTAGTGTACTAGGGGGGAGGGTTTGGAGGGAAGAAAAGTGCAACAATGAATGAATGTAAATCCAAAGTCTCTGTACATTTTTACTGACATTAATAATAAATTTAAATAAAACAAAAAAAATTTTTATTAAAAAGAAGGATTTTCTGCAGTCCTGCCCCCAAACACTTGTTAAGGCACCATTGAAGGAATTGTGGCAGCCACTGCTTGATCATGAGAGATCAAATGTCATAAAGTACTGCAAGGACAGTACACCGGCTCCTTGTGCAATGGCATGGTGAGGTTCCAAAGACCAGACCAACATGTGAAAACTGGGTTTATGTGAAAACAGGCTGACACATCACAAAATCAGACTGCAAATGCAATATAGCCATGTCAGTGGTATTGATTGCCTTCGAGTTGAGCATGACTCATAGTGATCCTATGAACAGAAGGCCTGAAGCTTTTCTATAACTATTGACATTTATCAAAGTTCATACAGTTTCTGGAGGCATGTTGTTTAGGAAGTGGCCTAGTGGCAAGAATCTGCCCTGTAATTCCAAAGGCACATTGTTTAAGGCCACCAGCTGGTCTGAAGATGGGCAGTCTTCTCCTGTGTGATTAACTGACTCTGAAAACCTGCTGGTGTGTCGGCTATAGTTCAGTTCCGACTCTGTGGTACACAACAACATGTCATTACTTTGTTGTTTGTTGTTGTTATGTGCCATCGAGTCGCTTGCGACTCATAGTGACCCTATGTACAAGAGCTCTAAATGCTGTTCTATCCTGTGCCAACCTAGCCATCTCAAACGCACTTATTCCCACCACTCCAGTCATAGAATCGATCCATCTCACCAAAGGTCTTCCTCTCCTTCGCCGCCCCTCCACTCTACCAAACATGATGTCCCTCTCCAAGGACCAGTCCCTCCTTGCAACATGCCCAAAATATGTCAGACGAAGCTTCAGAATCCTTGACTCAAGGGAACACTCTGGCTTCACCCTCTCCAGGACAAACCTGTTTGTTCTCCTAGCAGTCCATGGTATATGCAACACTCTTCTCCAGCACCATAGCTCAAAGGCATCAATCCTTTCTATCAACCCTATTCACTGTCATTACTTAATGTAAGAATCAAAGCATCACACAACTGCCAAACCTTGATTCTGAGAATCATGGCCAAGCCTTACATTAACTATCATGTCCAGTGTCACGCTCACCTTCCCAGATGCAGTATTATTGCCAGACGTAGGTGGTTAATACAGAGCTCTGGTAGTATAGTGGTAAGAATCTGCTCTGTAAACACAAAGGCGTGTGGTTCAAATCCATTCAAATCCACCAGCTGGTCTGTGGGAGAAGCGTGGATGGGCAATCTCCTCCCATGTGATGACTGCTTCTGAAAACCCACTGGAGAATCGGCTAGGTAGGTTCCAACCCTATGGCACACAATCCAGTAGTAGGCAGTTAATGTGCAAAAGGGTTAGTTAGTAGATTTTTAATTTTAGTAAATGCAAAATCCAGACTACCGAAGAGCAACAATGTCATTCTAAAGACTGAGGTGTGCCATGATCCAGGCCATGATCTTCACAATTACTTGCTATGCATCAGAAAGCTGGACAATAACTAGGGATGATAGAAGGAGAATTGATGCCTTTAAGCTGTGGTGCTGGAGAAGAGTTTTGAATATACCATGTACTTCCAGGAGAACAAACAGGTTTGTCCTGGAGAGGATGAAACCAGGCTGCTCCTTGGAGGCAGGGATTCTGAAGCTCTGTCTGACATACTTTTGGCATGTTGCAAGGAAGGATCAGTCCTTGGAGAGGGACATTATGCTTGGGAGGATGTAAGGATAGTTCAAGAGAGGAAGACCCTGGATAAAATACATTGACCCAGTTACTGGGGAAATGGGGGTAGGTGTGAGAGACAACAAAGTTGTTTCAGGATAGAGCAGGTTTCAGGGCTCTTGTACATAGGGTCGCTTTGAGTCGCAAGCAACTCGATGGCACATAACCAAGATTTCAGTTTCTCGGAGAAGTCTTCCTTGATAGCTTCATGTGCTGCTTCCTTTTCTGTTTCTTCTTTGTTCTTCCATTACACCTCCTATAGCCTGGTAATTTTCTGCTTGACTATCTTTTTCACCTAACCTGCAGTCCTTGAGGGGAAGGAATTATGGTTTTGATTCTTTATTTCATCAAGGTATATTATAATAACCTGTTTATGATAGTTAATAATATTATGTCTATAATAGGTGCTCAATATTTTTGTTGTTGTTATGTGCCGTCAAGTCGCTTGCAACTCATAGTGACCCTATGTACAACAGCCCTAAACTCTGCTCTATCCTGTGCCAATCACAAAGCCTCCAACATACCCATCCCGATCACCCCAGTCACTGAGTAAATGTACCTCACAGAGGGCCTTCCCCTCCTGTGCCGTCCCTCCTCCCTCCCAAGCTTGATTTCCTTCTCCGAGGACCTGTCCCTCCTTACAACATGTCCAAAGTATGTCAGACGAAGCCTCAGAATCCTTGCCTCCATGGAGCCACCCGGTTTAACCCTCTGTAGGATCGCTATGAGTCGCAAGCGACTCGACGGCACATAACAACAACAACAACAAGATTCATCAACAACCTGCATGCAGATGAAAGAACCTTATTTCCTGAAAATGAGGAGGGCCTCAAGCAGTTGTTGCAGAGGATCACAGACTGTAGTTTGCCATATGGATTGAAGCTCAACATCAAGAAAATGAAGATTCTCACCACGCAGCCTATTGGCAACATCAAGATAGATGGAGAAGAAATTAATATTATTAACAATTTCAGCTTGCTCAGTTCCATAATCAACACCCCTTTTTAAAAAAAAATTGTTTTTTGTGTGTGTACTGTCAAATCTGACTGGTACAGGAGGAGATTGCCCCTCCTTTTCCAGCAGAGCATCTGGTGGATTCAAACGGCGTGCCTCTGGAATTGCGGTGCAGCTTCTTGCCACTAGGCTACGAGAGCTCCCTAATCAACACTTTTAAAACCAGCAGTCAGGAAATCAAGACGAATTGCATTAGGAAAATCTGCTGTCATGGACCTCGCCAGAGTGCTGAAGAGAAAAGATGTCAGACTAAGGTGTGCCTGATCCAGGCCCTTGTCTTCACAATTCCTTGTTATGCATCAGAGAGCTGGACAGTGACCAAGGATAACAGAAGAATTGATGCCTTTGAGTGTGGTCCTGGAGTAGAGTGTAGAACATACCGTGGACTGCCAATAGAACTAACAGGTCTGTCCTGGAGAGGGTGAAACCAAGCTGCTCCTTGGAAGCAAGGGTTTTGAGGCTTCAACTCATACTTTGGGTATGTAGCCAGGAGGGACCAGTCTTTGGAGAAGCATATCATGCTTGGACAGTATAGGAGAGGAAGACCTTGGATGAGATGGATTGACATAAAAACTGGGGTAATGAGAGTAAATGTATCAAAGACAGTGAGATTGGCTCAAGGTAGAGCAAGGTTCAGAGCTATTGTGCATAGTATTGCTATGAGTTGTAGTTGACTTGATGGCACATAACAACAGCAGCATAGCAGAGTATGTACAAATGGAAAATCATATACATATCATCTTGTAACTTTCTAGGTCCCCAGGCCTCTTGCAATGAGAAAAGAAGGAATTCAAACCAGAAAACGGAAGCCCAAGAACCTTAATAAATCTAAACCACCAACAGGTGAGGAAATTACATGTGGGTGACTGTATGAATAATTCAGTAGTGGTGTGTGTGTGTGTGCACGTGCGCGCGCATACCTGGATTGTGTCTTGGCTTTGATGGGCCACCTCAGACTGCCACAGACCTTTGTGCATAACTTTATTCACCCCAAGTTTTCAGGACAGGCTAATAAAAAAGTATCAGCACCATATGACATACTGGCTTTTGAATTAGGCTCGACTCACTTTGTGGCTTGATTACTGTCACTTACAGTGAGCTACCTGAGCTAGCTGGCATCTTTAAGGAAAGAAACACCCCCCTCTCCCCCGCCCAGTTCAGTTCCTCTCAGTTCACCTTAAGTTTATGGGAGTCTTTGAATATAGGGTCACATTAGATATCTCCACAACAAATCTGTAATCCAACGTAGAGTTAACATAATTTCTTTGTACTTTAGGAGACCCTGGGTAGTGCAAATAGTGCAAACGTTGTACTACTATCAGGAAAGTTGGCCGTTTGAACCCACCCAGAGGTTCCTCAGAAGACAGGCTTGGTGATCTGCTTCTGAGAGGTCACCGCCTTGAAAACCCTAATGAGCAGGCAGTTCTATGGGTTGCCGTGAGTTGTAATTGACTCAGTGACAGCTCATAATCCTTTTCACTTCAGAAGCCTCTTCATCAGCATTAGATCAGCAATCTTCATGAGAGCACCATGAGACCCAGTTTCTTACGCCCATTTTACTGAGCAAACTGAGGGCTGGAGAATACAAACGACTTAACCAAAGCCACACAGCTGTTAATGGGTGGAGCTAAAGTACAGGTGTTGGGACTTTAGGGTTAATAATCTCTTCAGATACCACTCTACTTTCTTAATTTCTAGACTGAGAATGAGGACTACTCATGTCCACAGTGAAGAGCATTGTTTATAGCTACCAAACGAAAATTTTTTACTGGCTAATGCTACAGTTGTAAGGAAAAGAAATTAGTTGATCTGCTGGAAAGTTTCTCTCCTAATCTAAGATGTGACAGAACTAGATAGATCGCGCCCTTCCACGGAGGAGAGCATGGCCTACATTTTTCTCATTTAGGCATCACAGTGACTTACTCTTTCTGGCACCTGCACGTCTTAGTCAAACCATCAGGGTCTCCCTATTTCCATACCGTGCTGTTATGACAGCATGTTCCTTGGGGTAACCTCATTTCTTTAGATGTACTCACAGGGCAAGTGGCATTAGCATGCTTCAGATCCACAACCCTGTCTCCAAAATTCCATATCGATAAAGTGAGATTCAGCAGCAATGCTTAATCTGTGAACAGATAGGAGACTGTTGTATAGCCTTGATTTATTTCATTTAGTGTGAGTACTCATGTGTTTTGCTATAGAAATATTAATACATTACATTATGGAACAGATTCTCAGATCCTACTGGCTGGATAATGTGACCTAAAGCATTTGCACATTAAAAATCTAAAAAGTTTTTAATCTCTAAACACATATTTCACGTTTCCTTAAAGGTTTGGGGAAATGTTTGGTGACCCCACCATTTGAACAAATCTCTTTGAAATTCTAGTAGTTCTGGCCCATTTTGAGAACTGCCCTGATGAAGAACCCTTGCTTCACTCCCCAAAAGATTGTAAATAAAGCCATTAGTAAGGTTCTATGTAGGCTGTCTCAAAGGACTGCCATGCGTTTGTCTCTGCCCCAGTCCTGCTGTCCTGACTCTGCCTTGTTCCAGGTCCTTCGGGCAGTGAGAGCCTTCCTCCCACCAGCAGCGCTTCCAGCACCTCCAACGCCACCAGCAGCAGCAGTGAAGAGATGCGTCCCATCAAGACAGAGCCTGGGCTCTCATCTCACTATGGGCACACTAGCCCGATGTCCCAGGTATGCCCATTGGGATGAAGTAGCGGGATCCCCAAGTAGGGTGGTGGCTGTTGCTAAGCCGTGACCCTAGGAACAGCACATCTGAACCGAGCCCTGACCTGCAGCATCCTCATGATTTGCCATCTTTCTCAAGCCCTTTGTTGTCACAGTGTTGATGCTTCTTGGTAAGGGTCTCCCACTTTCGAGTAGGATTGTTGTTGTTCTGTCGAGTCAGAGCTGTTTCCTAGCTGAGCCTCACACAGGAGAAGATTGCCCAGCCTTGTCCCTCACAGCAAGTGGTGGATTCGAAATGCCTACTTTGGTTTAGCAGCACAACTCCATCCACACTAGCACACCAGAGCTCCCTGGGAGTGGGGCTGTTTTTGTGTGCCATCGAGTTGACTACAACTCATACTGACCCTATGGACAAAGGCTCTGCACTCATCTCCACCAGGCTCAAGCCCATTGGTGTAGGCACTGTGTTAACCCATCTTGTTGAGAGTCTTCCCCTCCCTCATTGATGTCCACTTTTCCAAGCATGATGTCCTTTTCCAAGGACTGGCCTCCAAGAAGCACCCTGGCAGCACCTTTTCCAATATTTGATTTTGCATTTGGCAGTCCATGGGATATTCAGCGTTCTTCTCCAAGTCTACAACCCAAAGACATTGAGTCTTCTTGTTGAAAATATTGTGGTTTGGATCAGGTACACTTGGGTGAGGTTGTGGTGGTTGTTGTGTACCATCAAGTTGGAACCAACCCAAAACTAACTCTCTTGTGGGTTTTCAGAAGTTAGAGAAGGAGATTGCCCATATTTCTTCCAGGGATCTGCTGGTGGATTTGAACTGTGATCTTTGCCTTGACATTGCAGTTCCCTACCACTAAGCCACCAGAGCTCCCTGAGTGGGTTTGTTGTTGTTATTATGTGCTGTAGAGAAAGCAAATCTGTGAGCAGTGATTCTGATCATTGCTGCATCCTGAGCCAACGTCACCATCTCTGGCACAGATGAGTCCATTGCCACAGTCACTGTGTCAGTCCGTCTTATTCAGGGTCTTCCTCTTTTGCACTGCCCTTCTACCGTTCCAAGCATGATGTCTTTCTCCAAGGACTGGCCCCTTCTGGCCAAAGTACATGACACAGAGTTTCAAAATCCTTACCTTCAAGGAGCAACCTGGTTTTGCCCTTGTTTTGCCTTATTTGACCTGTCTATTCTCCTGGCAGTCCATGGCATAAGTAGGGTAGTATACTCAATATAGGTGGGTTTGCTCCATGTAGCTCTGCCAGGACTCCAGCAAGTGGCAGGTTCTGAGTTGCACCAGCTGGATTAAAAATACCCAGCCGCAAAGCTATTCAGTGCATTGATGCTTCACCTGCACTTGCGGGCTGTCTACACAAGGGTATTTTATCAAACTAAGGAGCTCCACTGCCAAGCCAAAGGCCTGTGGTTCAATTCCACCAGTTGCTCTGAAAGATAAAGATGGGCAGTCTTCTATTGTACAATTTACTGCCTCTGAAAATCCATTGAAGCATCAGCTGTCACTTTTGACTTGTCAGTACTAAACAACATATATTCAGTAGTACTGAACAACATATATTTAGTAGAGATCTATATTTGTTCCCATTCTAAAAAAAGGTGACCCAACCGAGTGCGGAAACTACAGAACAATATCATTGATTTCACATGCAAGCAAGATTCTACTGAAGATTATCCAAAAACAACTGGAGCAGCACATCAGCAGAGAACTGCCGGAAGTCCAGGCTGCGTTTAGAAGGGGTCGTGGTACTAGGGATATTGTAGCTGATGTTAGATGGATCTTAGCTGAAAGCAGGGAATACCAGAAGAATGTCTATCTGTGATTCATTGTTAATGCAAAGGCGTTTGACTGTGTGGATCATAACAAACTGTGGCTGACTCTGAGAAGAATGGGAATCCCAGAACATTAAATCATGCTAATGTGAAACCTATACTTGGACCAAGAGGCAGTCGTTAGAACAGAGCAAGGTAACACCGCATGGTTCAAAATTGGGAAGGGTGTACGCCAGGGATGTGTCCTGTCTCTGTACCTTTTCAACCTGTATGCAGAGCAGATTATTTGAGAAGCCGGGCTCTATGAGGAGAAGTGTGGCATCAGGATTAATGGAAGATCTATTAACAATCTGCGTTATGCAGATGACACAACCCTGCTTGCCGAAACTGAGGAGGACCTCATGCACTTGCTGCAGAGGGTCAAGGACTGCAGCCTTCAGTATGGACTGAGGCTCAATGTCAAGAAGACAAAGATTCTAACCACTGGACCAATTGGTAGCATCAGGATGGATGGTGAAGAGATTGAGATTGTTCACAGCTTCAGTTTGCTTGGCTCCACGGTCAACACTCTTGGCACCAGCAGCCAGGAAATCAAAAAACGTATTGCGATGGGAAAGTCTGCTGTTCGGAACCTCTCTAAAGTACTCAAGAGCACCGGTGTCTCTTTGGAGACTAAGGTGCGCCTGATACAGGCCATGGTCTTTGCAATCACTTGTTTTGCATCAGAGAGTTGGACAATGACTAGGGAAGATAGAAGGAGAATTGATGCCTTTGAGCTGTGGTGCTAGAGAAAAGTATTGAATGTACCATGGACTGCCAAGAAAACAAAGATTCATCCTGGAGAGGGTTAAACCAGGCTACTCCTTTTAGCCAAGGATTCTGGGGCTTCGTCTGACATACTTTGGACATGTTGTAAGGAGAGACAGGTCTTTGGAGAGAGACATCATGCTTGGTAAGGAGGAGGGACAGCGCAGGAGGCAAAGACCCTCTATGAGGTGGATTGATTCAGTGACTGGGGTAATCGGGATGGGTGTGTCAGAGGCCATGTGATTGGCATAGGATAGAGCAGAGTTTAGGGCTGTTGTACATAGGATCGCTGTGAGTCGCAAACGACTCGACGGCACATAACAACAACAACAACAACTCTATACCAATCTCCTTTGAGTACTCAGGCGAGGGAGATCAGGGTGGCACATTGTATTATGAGGGGCAGAAAGCACACAACCACAACCTGAATCAGATTGTGTGTGTTGGGGTTGGGGAGACTGAGGTAGAGCTATAGGAAGGCAGTAGGAGGCAGAAGGTGGAGATCTCTAGGCAAGTCTATCCTTCTGAGTAAGGGGTGGTTTGATCTTGGCCTTGAAGGATAGTTAAGAGTTTTAACAGGACATAATAAGGAAGAAGAACCCTTCTGTCAAGAGTTGAGGTTTGAAGACTTGCAGAGGGCAGGTGGGTGGGGGGTGGGTTGGGACTGGTGAAGGGGGCAGGGTGGGTGGGTAGGTGGATTAGGGGACTACTGAAGAGGTTATAAGGAGGATGCTGGGTTTTTATTTTGGGGTGGTTTTTTTTTTTTACCATAATTTCATTTTGCTGCTGATATTCTCAGCAAAACATAAACCAGCCTCACAGTTTCTACATGTGCAATTCAGTGACATGGAATACATGTTTCAAATTGTACATCCAGTCTCACCCTCCTGTTCCAAGTTGTTTCTCCTTGATTATTGTAAACTTGTGGCCCACTTAGGTTCCTGTGTAATCTTCAAGAGTTGCTATTGCCAGTTTGACCCCCTATAAAGAATAGATCTTGTTTGTTTGTTTGTTGTTGTTGTTATTGTGTACTATCAAATTGGATCTGACTGGCACAGAAGGAGATTGTCCCTCCTCCAGCGGAGCATCTGGTATATTCAAACCACATGTCTCCAGGATTGCAGTGCAGTCTCTTGCCACTAGGCCACCAGAGCTCCCTTAAATAATAGATCTTAAAATAGCACAGTGCTGAATGCAGACATTCTTTATTAGTTAAATGAAGCCATTAAGTGATTTTAATAAAATTTCAGGGAGTATTTTTTTGTTTCATATTTTTCAAGATTATCTGAGTTTAAAGGTTCATCCAAATTCCATGGCTCCACAATGTAAAGATTCCCTGAAAATGGAAAACTTTTTCCTGTATGTTCCCCCTTTTGATCAACATTGTTCTATAGCATCTCTAATCAAAATTTTCAGTAATTGTAGATGTTTACCATCCAGTTCTTCTGGGCCTCAGGGAAAGGGAAGCAAGATATCATTTCAATGAGTGATATTGGTGGGCAGTTTTCCTACATAGGCTCAAAGGCTGCAGTAGCAGTAACTTAATTTCCTTCTTGCAGATAATATGGAGGTATCCCTGCTCCACTATCCCTTCCTTCTGTGGTTCCTTCCCAAGCTTTATCATAGTCTCCTGTATTGGCCCACTCTGATTTCTTCTGCATTCACATGGGTTTTGCTATAGATATGAATAGGAAGTTGGCCTTTTAGAATGAGGAAACCCAGGAGCTTCTTTTGGTGGGAAGAAAGGGCTGTCTGTTTCAAAGTGGAGAATTGATGGTGATAGGACACAAGGTCTCTTGTACCTATGAGACATTTCAGAATAGTCACCTGGTGGTGCAAACCTGCTGGATCACAGCCCTGTTTGTGTGTTGTATACCAGAAATAGCTGATGGATCGCTCAGATACTTTGCTTCCAAGAACACAGGAGAGTTAAGAAAAACAAACACTCCTTGGTCCTTTGCCCTGCCTTTATCCTTTGACAATGAGGTCTCTCATCCCTTTTTAGGGCTGCCCTCTTTAATCAAAAGCCTTCACATCTCTCTTTTTCTTTTTTGCTTTCAGACATTCTCAGTCAGTGCCATGTCTGGCCATGGACCTTCCATCCACCCAGTCCTCTCGGCTCTGAAGCTCTCCCCACAAGGATATGCCTCTTCTGTTAGCCAGTCACCGCAGGCCAGCTCCAAGCAGGACTCTTGGAATAGCCTAGTCTTGGCTGACAGTCATGGGGACATAATCACTGCCTAATCACACCTCCTTCTCTCCTCAAATTCCTGCACAGACTTGGGTCTGGGAGGACAGCAGAGACTAAGGCTGCAGGCCCTCCACGGCCAGCCTCCTCTGTCTGGGAATGACTCCAGAAGAACAATCAAGAAGAAACTTGAAGTCTATGATTTGGTTAGGGGCAGGGGATGTGGAACTTATCAGATACTTTTCAAGGTTGGGGAACTGGAAAGAGACTGGACTCTGATACAGAAGAGCCTTACCCTTCATCAAGAGCACACAAAGTCTCTTCTGTATAGTTAGAGACTCCTTTTCTCATTCTCTTCTCTGCCCATCCCACTATTAGAGACAATTGTCCTCTACCTGTCTCCTGTGGCCTACAATTGTTGTGTGCTGAGTCAATTCTGACTCAGCTGTTCTGTAAGGTGGGTAGACATGCCTCATAGGGTTTCCTAGGCTGTAATTTTTAGGGGAGTAGGCTGCTTGTTGTTTTCTCCCACAGAGCTGCCAATGAGTTTGAACTACTAACCTTTTGGTTAGCGGGCAAGCTCTTAACCACTTTGTCACCAGGGCTTCTTATGGCCCAAGATAGTGGTTTTTAAATTATGCTCTCAGCACTGGGGACCTGAGGCAGGGGTAGTGAGTACAGGGTCCATAGAACCCTGTTCCAGTCTGAAAAAGAGCATGAATTCTGCATGCAGTAGATCCCTATGGGTGACCCCTGCTGTTGTCCAACACTCCCCTTGAGGCCTGGCACATCCTGGCATCCTCAGTACAAGACTGAGTTAAAAAATACTGGGTGTAATGTCTATGTTACTGAACATTTCTTAGGGAGATGGAGAGAGTTCTTCCATCCACCACACAGTATAGTTTCCTCTGAATCTCAACTGAGCAGCTTGGCCTCCCCAAAAGTCCTTTCCCCTGCTAATGGCCTCATCCTTTAGTTCCTGCTTTTCACTCCCAAGGCCTCTTAAGAGAAAAATTTTTCCTTCTGTTCTGCATGATTGAGCTCTGTTCTCAGTATGTACGGGTTTCTCCCTCTACAAAACAAGAGCTCTGCAGTTAGCCTACCAGCAACCACCTCATCCCTACCTGCCCCACCCAAATCCTTCATGTACCCCATCACACACAGAAGGGGTTCTGAGTAAGAACAAAACTGTTCCGCTGCTAACGCGAGTTTGACAGACACTCAGAGAAGACTTGAGAGAATGTCTGGTGGACTGGTCTCCCTGGCCGGGGCCAGCACGGTTCCCAGAAGCCCGGGGCTATTGGAGTCTGGCTCACCTGTTCTCTGAAATGCGGGTGCTGCACATTTTCCTCTGGAGCTTTGCCTCTTGGTCAGACAAAGGGAAGGGCAGGAAACACCTAGACCTGCATCTTTTCCCCAGGGAAACTGTCCAGAAGGTGAAAAGCCAGAGATTCAAAACATAAATTAGAGACAAGCAAAGCAAAACAGAACTCCTGGAAAGAAGATTATCCAGGAGGAAGAACACTGAGGGCTGGCCTTGAGGACGTCTCCTGCTCTGAGTGGTTCTGGAGCTGGTCGCCTTCTCTGCATGTTGCTCCGTTCCCACCAGTAACTCCGAGACTCTTGAAGACGCGTCCTTCCTTGTCCTTGCTGTCAACAGAGCTGTAGCTGACTGTGGCATTACTATGTTCTACCCCAAAGCACCCTGACCTTCCGATCCAAAAATCCTACTGGCTGTAGCAGAGAATATTTTTAAGATTCTGTTTTAATCATCATTTACATTGTTTTCTTCCATGAAGGCCACCCTAATATACCTACCCTAACCCACAAACTTGTTAACATGGTCTTAAGGTGAAATGGCTGTAAAAATCAGTATTTAACTAATAAATTTATCTGTACTACTCTTTCTATTCTTCTCTTACTACTCTCTCTCATTGCCCTCAAACCAGAACTGACTCTTAACAGACCCGACAGCGGGTTGTTAGAGGCTGTACATCACACAGGAGGAGTTTGCCGTTCGAAGAGTAGCTGGTGGATTTGAGCTGCCTGCCTTTGGGTTGATAGTGTAACTCTTTGCCCATTAGATGATCACAGCTCCTCATCTCTTTCTACAGAGGTCTTCACTGGGAGATTTGCTGCAACCCTTTGCCAGGAACTCTTGCACCATAGAGGTCCTAAGCTAATAGACTTACAAACTGCTTTTAAAAGACATTGTCTCAGCTCATTTTTGGCATTCAGCCAAGGCTTCCTCTTAGTGGATGATGCTGGCTGGTGAAAAGAACAGACAGGCCACTTGTAGGTTTTAGTTGCCTAGGAGATCTTTAATTTCCATGACTCAACAGATATTAGTAAAGGGAGAGGGCATTTTTAGATCTTTCTCTGGATCTCAAAGGCTGAACATAAGCCAGAGTCTGGGGCAGATGATGTCTGCCTTTGCTTGGTTTAAGATAGGTCACTCGAAGGGGCTCTTGCTGGCATCTACATATTATTTAGGGTTTGAGCCAAGCAAGCCCTTGAAGAGGCAAGTGATGCTCCACACCAGTGGGGCAAGACACCAAAATATTCTCTTTTTCTTTACTTCCTTAAGTCATAGGATTGCTTAGTTATGGGATTGACTTTAAAAGGTGTGTTTGTATTGGGGAGTTCTTAAGGCATCTCTGACTCAGTCTCTGTGGGGGACCCACCCATTGCAAATCACCTCATTCTCAACTGGCCAGGGTAGTTTCCTGCCTTTTAACTGGATTAAGATGAACCCGTTAGACAACTGGGGCCATTTAACCTTGCACAACAACCCTCTTATTTTAAACAGGTAAGGAAAAATCCTTCCCAAAGCAACAAGGTAGCATCAGGAAAGCTTTTACATTTTCTAAGGAATTTGAAGAGTCTAAGAAATACTCAAATCTCTTAAATATAATTACCATGAAGAAGGAGGAAGAGTTGATAACCCTAAAAACTAAAGGTAATAAAATAGAGTAAAAATCCAAACCTATCAAAACTTATCTTTCCCTTGTTGTTGTTGTTGTGTACCATTAAGTCAGAAGTGACCCATAGCTGACCCAACGGCAAGTTTTTAGAGGCAACTTCCAGCACAGTTTTAGAGTCAATTAATCACATGGGAGGAGATTGCCCGTCTTTCTCCTGAGGAGCAGCTAGTAGATTTGAACCATGTATCTTTGAGATTGCAGTGTAGCTTCTTACTATAAGGCCACCAGAGCTTCCTTAGGAAGTTGTAAATATTTTCTGATGATGATGTCTATTTAAAGTATTTTTTCTACGTTAGTGATTGCTTTTAGAATAAAATTATATATAAGAACAATGACACATTCCTTACATAAATAAAATTTATATTCTATCCAAAATGGTAAAATCTAGCTTGATGGCTGCCTCCGTAGTCTCTAGAATTGTTGGCTTCCTCAAATCAGATCTATCTGCCAAGGAGGTTGATTTGCAACTGATTCTTGTTGTTACATACATATACTGTCAAGTCAGAAACTACTGACAGCTGACCCTCCAGTGGGTTTTCAGAGACAATTAATTGCAAAGGAGGAGATCACACATCTCTGTCCTGTGGAACAGATAGTGGATTCGAACCATGTGCTTTTGGATTGGCAGAACAACTTGTTACTATTTAGCCACTGGAATGCCTTTTGCAACTAATGAAGGTATTACAAAAGGTACAATTTTGCAATAATGGTTTTATACAATATTTATCCGTGAGGAACTGAGTTAGTTCACTCAGCATAATGCTCTGCAGTCCTTCCCAAGTTAGGTAATAAGTTACAAAATCACTGCTCCTGCATACTGCATAGTATTCCATTGTGTAAATATACCATAATTTCTCAAACCATTTGTTTGTGGTTGGACATTTGGGCGGTTTCCATGTTCTTGTGATAGTAAATAATACTATGAACATTGGTGTACAAATCTCAGTTTGTGCCTCACTTCTCATTTTCTCAGGGTATATTTGAAGCAGGAGTGGCATCCACTTCCTAAACAACATACCTCTGGAAACTCTATGAACTTTGATAGATGTCTGTAGTTGTAGAGGGGCTTCAGGCCTTTTGTTCATAGGGTCGCTATGAGTCATGATCAACTTGACAACAATCAACAACAACTTATTCCAAGTAGTGGAATAGCTGGGTCATATGAATTTCTATGTTCAGATTTTTGAGGAAATATTGTATAAAACAGTTATTGTAGAATGAGTATAAAGATCCAAGAGGGGTGGGAGAGGTTGGAAGTAGAGGGATGAACATGTGTGGGGGAGGGGGAGATTAATCATCAGATTGTATCATTTGATGGGTGGGGACGTGAAGAAAATTGAAGAGTTTGTTCTTGAAAACAATGTATTCAAATTTTGTAAATAAACTAGTAGAAAATAAAAATTTTTTAAAACCCACAAAAACAAAAGGTACAATTTCGAGAGAAGTGGCTATAACAAAATCTTCTGAAGCACAGGTCAAATCATTCAACAATTGCTGTTCTTATCACCAAGTCAGCTATGACTCAGCAAACTTGTGAACAATGAGTATGAAAACAACAACACAGATACGAGCCTTGCCCTGTCCTGTGCCATCCTCACCATATGTCAGCCTGTTGTTACAGTCATGGCGTCAATGCATCTTGTTGAGGCTCTTCATTTAGAACCCTCAATATTTGACCCTTGGAAGTCTTTGGAGAAAGGTGAGAAGGAGCAGCTTTGACTGTAATTGTGCATTGCTTGGGCTAATAGTAATCAAAGTAAATTTATATTCACTGAACACGTAGCAAATAACACTGGAGAGCTGTTATTTGGACACGTTCTCAGAACTTGATTTGGATATTGAATATATTAGATGCAGCCATTTTGAAAAGTTTTTGGAGTGGGGGCGGTGGCTTTATTAACTTTGTAGCATTAAAAAACTAAACTTCCAAATTGTATATGGGCCTTGCTTGAAGCTAAAACACAAATGAGTCATCCCATAACGAAGGGCTACCCTGTCAGAGCTTAAACGTGTCACTTTGGAAGTGAAGAGCCAAGAACATTGGTCTTTCTGCATTCCAGCTTCCCCTGGACACCTGCTTCTATTTCCATTACCGAGGCTTCCACACCCTTGACCTCAAGCATAGTGCTGCTCTATAAAGCTCTGCCTTCTTCCCCAACCCTAACCCCAACTTTTTTCTTCACTTCCCATCTGGATAGCTGAGGCACTGGAGTTTTTCAAAACGACTAGTAAACAACAAAGGAGACAACAGACCTGTCCATGACATGAAAACAGACTTTGGCTCTTGAAGTCCCCGCCCCCCAGTCTTGGCTCACCCGCTCCACTGGCTGAAACCTGGGAGG